GGAAAAAAACTAAATGGGTACTGGAACCGGTACTGGTATCGCCAGTGCCGGTACCGAAAAACTGGCACCGGAACCGGTACCGTGGGTGGCGGTGCCGGTACCGATTCCCTGGAACCGGAGCAGCGGGACGGTCACCGGTGACGGTGGGGGTACCGGCGGTACCGTCGCCGGTAAGGTACCGTACCGGTACCGAGTCCAGCCCTACACTACGGTCATGTTTACCTCACCAGATTTGATCTGAATGTACTTATATTTAATATTCATCTGTCCTAAATCTATCTTTCCGTTTGTGTTTACGAGGGTTGCCCTACACTACGGTCATGTTTACCTCACCTGATCTGATTTGATTTGATTTAGTTTGATGTGATGTGATTCTAATATAAATAAGTAATAAGGAAAAAATAAGTTACTAGAATATATCCAACTTCTACCTCTCTCTCTCAATTTCCACCGTCATTATCTCACTGTATCTTCTGCTCCAACTGCTAGTTGCCCAGCCATCCAACGACGGACACCGGCGGAAGAGCTTCAGCCACCCATCGGCACACAGCGTGATTGAGGCAGCAGCTTCACCATTATTTTCCGGCTTCAGGACCCAGCGGCAGCGGTTTTAGCACCCAGGGACCGGAAGGTATTTGTTTTCACATTATTCAATTTCTGAATGCTTATTGTGTAATTTTCAAATTATTTTTGAGCACCCAGCGGTTTAAGATTATTGTATTGAAATAGATGATGTAATTTTTCAAAGAGGTTCTGTAAATTTTCCAGATTGTTGTATTCAAACAGATTCTGTAATTTTTCACTTTATTTGCTTCTAATTTATTCAAACAGATACTTCGTACTTCCATATTTTCAAATAGAATTTACTTCTATGAAAATACGAGTATTATTTAAGATTTGCTTCAAACTGTTGCGTTCCAGATTTTCCAGATTCTGTAATAAGTATTTTCTCCAATAAGCATATCATTTTTTTAAATGGCATTTGCTCTAATATCATTTTTTCCTTATTATTAAAAATCAGCATGCATTTTGGAAAAAAGTATGCAATTTGGAATAGTAATTTGAATTCTACCAAAATTATAAGCTCAAATGCTCAACACTATGTATTTATATTTTTTGTAGACAAATGGCGTAACGGTTAGATAGGACCAGATCAAAGCAAAGTAGATTATTCATTGTTTTGAACTGTTACAGGATTCATTGTGTTCTCCAAATATAAATAAAGAACAAACAAACACAACTTTTACTAACCAACAAAACTATTACAAACCAACACACCTATTAACATTAGAAACTATCCATAACTGCTTTTAGAAACTACCTAAGTGTCTTCTTTTTTAAATTAATTAAATATGTAAAACACACTAACCGACACCATACTAACTGACCCGAACATTGACTTATTACCGATTCGGTTATATGTGAACGAACCCGATTAAATCTAACAATCATGCTCCTAATCGTTGCTTGTTCACACTGATCTTCACAGCAACGTTGGTTCATCATCATCTTCAATCAAATTTGCAATGTGTTCCTTTTGATCCCATTTTGGACATTCGTTCAGAAAATGCCCTAGCTCATTGCACTTGAAACACTTAATGTGACTCTTATCCTGCTGAAACCGACCACCATCCTGACCATTCCCGGACCCCTGACCTCTACCTCGACCACGCCCAAAGTCTTCTTGGTTTGAGCTCCCGCAACCACAATGCTCACATTTGTGCTCATTAACCTTCTCTTTTCCATCACCTTTAGTGAACCGTAGTTTACCTTGTATATCTCCTTCCTCGGTTGGCTTTTTGATGCATTCCTCGAATGCTTTCAATCTTTCAATTGCTTCTTGAAACGGTATTGTGTTAATGTTGGCAAACTGTTCAATTGCAGCAATGATCTGTATGAACTTTTGAATAGACCGAAAAGCTTTCAAGCCAATCTTTTGTTTTCAAATGCAGACCCAAGGTTGCTTGCTTGTGTTGCAAGTTGACTAATTTTACCAGCAAAATCATCAAGTGACTCATTGTTCTTCATCTTTAGAGTCTCAAAATCTAATTCGAGTGTCTGTAATCGTGCCGCTTTAACCTTGTCAACACCAACAAAGTGAGAGCATCCCAAATTTCTTTCGCTTTGATAAACTGAGCAACTTGTAACACGATCTCTTCCGGGAAAGCTTGAAGCAGATATGCTATTGCCATATTGTTCTTCTTTGGATCGATTTCTGTTCCTGGTTCGATAACCTCCCAGATCCCATTAACATTAAAAATTGCTTTGATCTTCACGGCCCAAATAGTGTAGTTTGTAGAAAATAAAACTGGAACCTTATAAGATAGTGAACTATTCTCCCTTGTAGTCACAATCTGTCTTTTGTCTTCCATTGCACCACTTTAATTCCTTCGACAATTTTCACAAAATTCTTAGACTTTGATTTCTTCCTAGGTCGTAAACCACCTGGAATCGACCATCAACCAGAAGACAGGCCCTTGCTTTTCCGACTTCCAAGCCACTAAACGAAAGCTACCCCGCTCATTTTTTTTCCCGCGCTGTTTGGTTGAAATGCTTGTGCCAAAGGAAAAAACTAGCCACTTGCTATTTGTGCCCTAGGCGAGGAAGAATCTTGTCGAAGATTCTTGATCTGTTGTCGAGGAAGTCTCTAACACTTTGCTTTATAATCTGGCAGCCCTTTTGCTCCCGATCACACACCTCCTGATCACAAGACGGACCGCTCCCTTTGATCGATGGGTCCTGATTGTCGCTCTGATACCAATTGTTAGATAGGATCAGATCAAAGCAAAGTAGATTATTTATTGTTTTGAACTGTTACAGGATTCATTGTGTTCTCCAAATATAAATAGAGAACAAACCAACACAACTTTTACTAACCAACACAACTATTACAAACCAACACACCTATTAACATTAGAAACTACCCATAGCTGCTTTTAGAAACTACCTAACTGTTTTCTTTAAATTAATTAAAATGTAAAACACACTAACTGACACCATACTAACTGACTAGAACATTGACTTATTACCGATTCGGTTATATGTGAACAAACCCGATTAAATCTAACGGTAACAAACTCAACAAAGCATGGATGAATGATGTGCTGTGTAAACATTCAGGATGTAATCTTTACTTGTTTGGTTAGTAATTTACCTTTTTGTTTTAGATTTGTTTTTGTTATGAGGATCTGATGTTTTTCTATTGCGGATTAGCTGTGGACTCGGAAATATGGTTAGGGATTTAGATTTTTTTTGGTTATGTTAAGATGTTTTTAGATTATAGATTTGAATATTCGGATACAGATTTGGATTTTTGTTACAAATTCGGATGTTGAATCGGATGCAGATACATCTGAATCCAAAAAAATCCGGCAGATTCGGATTCAGCAGACCAATTATAACGTCGGATACGGATGCAGATTCGGATACCGGTTTCCCTAAAAGGATTCGGATTTGGTTAGATCACATCCAAAACGGATATTATCCGTTTACACCCTTAATATTCTCTTTCCTTCATTAAATTTTTTCTCTCCTAAGTTCTATCCACATAGTGTCATTACTACGTCACCTCAGCTCGTCTCCTTCCATCTCTGAAATTTCATTCCTCCTGCAGAAATTTGCCCTTAAAGTCTGAAGTTCACCCAGATCTTAATCACTGGCACGAATCTGGTAGGTTCGAAATTTGCTTCCTCACAGTTCTCTTCATACATTTTTTTCTGTCTCCTTCTTGACCTCTCTCACTTACTTACTCTCCCTCTGAAAATTATTTGGAGGGGACAGAACAATGATTTTCATTTAGTATATCTATTGAATTTTGGTCACTTTTAGTTTCTGGAGTAGTAGTTCATTCGAGTGGTTGACCATTGCTTCTGCTTGCTGACTGTTTCTTGCTTAATCAATTTGTAAATTTTTTTATTCTATATTTGGAATCAATTTATTTACTTTATGTATTTGAGTTCACAGGGTTTTCCCAGATTTTGTTTTGTGTTGAGTCGTAGTTTATTTGATATAATATACTGAAATGTACCTTGCAATTTATCTAATTTTTATTGTTGGTATGCTTTTCAATTTCATTGCGCAGGCATTAATGTGATAGGATCTGAACTCCAATTTCAATGGAAGCCACCGGTCAAAGGACAATTTGCTTTCCTTCACCTGGCCAGAATCAGAGAACTTTCTCTAGGACAACTATTTGTACATCTGGGTTTCGAAGCTATATTGATTTCAGAAATCCACAACTTCAACTTCGCTTAAGCAATCATTCATTTTCAAATAGTTGTCTGTCGGAAAATGGATTGGCTAATTCCAATGCATTTGGTGTAACGGAAGGCGAGAGTGTTGAATCCTACAGTTCACTCAAGGATGAGCTTTTTGTTCGGTTTTTTCGAGAAGCATGGCCTTATTTTCATGCATTCCGGGGTAGCACTTTTGTTGTGCTCATATCTGCTGAGATTGTTGATAGCTCTCATTTGGATCCTCTTTTGATGGTACATTTATGCATCTTACGCTGTGTGGCTATCTCTCCATTTCTATTTTTTTGTTTTAGCACATGGAGTTTATTTGAGTTCATTTCTGTTGTTCCTTTATGATTAGACTTTTTGGTGATGACAATTAATGATATCATTATGACATTCTCTTAAGATTTTTCAGCAGTTCATGTTGAATTTTGTGGCTTAATTAAAGAATTTCACATCGGTGGGTATTGTTCTATTACTTCCCACATCAGAAGTTTGTAGTCTTAGGGCAGGATCTATGAGCTATAAATGAACTCTTCCTCCATTGTTTTTCATCCCAAAATTTGTACATCTTCCACATAAATAAGAGCAACTGCTTTCCTTAAGTAAAGGAAAGCAACTTCTTGAGCGGTGCTCAAAGATTAATCTCATTTGGTCAAACTTTGTTTTCAAATTTTTGCGTGTGTTGACTTTTGTGTCTCTAATGGAGCCAAAGATTCACTATTTTTTGGCTTTGGGGCATGATTGAATAAAGCGAAATGGCTATTTAAACTGTTTGCGCTTTTTTTAATCGTGAAGTAGCAGTTAGTCAATGCAACTTTCAATGCTCATCATGGGTCATCCGAAAACAGCCACTCTATGTTTTAAACATAGGAGTTACAATATTATTTGTTGATTATATATGTTAGTGTTGTGTTTAGTTCATTTGTTTTGAACAAGGTCATTTCACTAGTTGTCTTGTCTTAGTGGGAATTTACCTGGTTTCCCAAGTGCTTACCTGATTGAAATATATTGCTTTCACAGGATATTTCTCTCCTTCATGGCTTGGGAATTAAATTTGTTCTTGTGCCAGGAACACATGTGCAGATTGATAGGCTTCTAGCTGAGCGCGGTGAGTTTCATCACGTCATTGTCTTTTCAAGTGCTCTCTTCGCCCTTATATTAAAAGATCTAATCTCCAGCCATCTATAGTGGCCTCTCGATGTAAAGATGGAAATTCAAAACTTCCCACTATACCCGCCCTGCCTCGCTCAGTTTGGGTTGCCTCACCCCATAACCCGCAATGAGACAAGGCAAGTTTTAGTATCATGGTCACCATGTTCTAGCACTTCCTGTGCTAAAAAAGTATTCACTTAAATGTAATTATTATATGCATTTTAATTATTACTCCCTCCGCCCTAAATTTGATTACAAATTGGGATTTACGAGGTAAAACCCCATATCTTTTGAAATCATTTTATTTACAACATAGTTGTGAAAAGCGTGCCTCCCGCGATGCACACGAAGCGCAGTGGTCTGTGCATCAAGCTTTGTGATGTGGGCAATGTATAGGAGGCGCGCGCATAACTGTGCATCATTGCATCATGTGGTGCGATCTGAAACCCTACAGGGCGCGCATCACGTACACATCTCTAAATTTTATTTTTTTTTTAAATTTTTTATCGATTAGTGACAACTGGTTGCCGTCGGATAGATGTCGCCTAGAGTAATCAACCGCTGGTCAAAGTAGATGATGTTTTTTTCAGGACCCGACCCGATAAGACCGACCCAGATTTCATTTATTTTTTAAAAAAACCCTAGAACTCTATCACTTGTCGACTTGTACTGCGTTGAAGTCACAGTCCTGATCCAAAGCCCCTCTTTATTTATTTAATTATTATTTTTTTGTTTTTAACTTCAATTGCTTTTGATTTTGTATGCGTTTGACATTTGTGAAAAAAACTGATGTAGTAAAATATTTGAGAATTGAGTTAATATTGTACGATATTTTTTTTAATTTCAGTTTTTATTTATCTTGCAGTTATACTGTATACCCTATCATATTTTTTGTGCAGGTTGAGCCGGGGGTCTCTTGGAAACAGCCTCCCTGTTTCCAAGTAGGGGCAAGGTCTGCGTACACACACCCTCCCCAGACCCTACTGTAGTGGGATCCAACTGGGTTGTTGTTGTTGTTGTATTTATCTTGCAGTTTTGCTTTGAAATTAAATTTAATATTTATTTATCGGGCTTGAGAATAAAAATTGATGTAGTATACTAGTATTTGAGATTTGAGAATAAGGTTAGTAAGTTAGTTGCTCCTTTTATTATTTGTTTTCACAATATTTTTTCAGTTTTTTTGTGAGGTTTCCCCCCTTTTTTACCTTTTTTGTATTTATGTTTTGTACTCTTTCAAGTTTCAAGAATGTAAGAATCTCTAAATTTTGGGTACTAATGATACCGGATGGTAGTATTTTTCAAGGGTCACAAAAACAAATAGGAATGACACTATTTGCCTAATTTGTAATAAAATCCATGAAGTCTATACTTTGATTCTTGGTTGCTTTCTAAAGTTCTCGTATGCTTTCCAACATTTGATATGTACTATTACTCTTTTAGAGATGCTATGCTACTTATGCCTCAATGTGCGCATTGTGTTCGTGATGCGCGCGCATCAATAGCGCATCGCTCATCGAGGTGCTAGAGTCCCTTTTTGCATCGGTGTGCATTGCGCCTTAAATAACTATGATCTACAAATTATTACTCATCAATAAAAAATAAAAGTTACATATTAAAAAACTATGTCAAAAGTTCTACAAAATAAGAAGTGACAAGAATATTTTATTTTATCAAATAATCAATGAAAATACACAAATAAACAAAAATTATCAAGAGGTGAGAGAAAAAAAGATTGTAATAAAAATTGGGACAGAGGGAGTATGTACTAAAATTCATAGTTTGATTAAACAACTTATCATTTTGGTCAAACAACGTGTTTTATTACGGAGTATATTATACAACCTTTTATCTAATAAATGCATCCCTTCCAGAAATCGGAATGCTAAATATTACTCCCTCTGTCCCTCATAGATCTTCCCAATAGCCCTTTTTCTTTGTCCACAATAGATCTTCTCATTTCGTTTTTTAACAATTAAAATACCACAACTACCCCCACTTACTTTATTTATTACACCTCACCCACCTCATTTAATACACTCCACCCATTTTTCATTAAGGGTATTATGGTAAACTTTCACCTTTTTTCAACTCTCCTTAAAAACCACCAAAAGTCAAAATGAGAACATTTTAGGGGGANCTCTGTCCCTCATAGATCTTCCCAATAGCCCTTTTTCTTTGTCCACAATAGATCTTCTCATTTCGTTTTTTAACAATTAAAATACCACAACTACCCCCACTTACTTTATTTATTACACCTCACCCACCTCATTTAATACACTCCACCCATTTTTCATTAAGGGTATTATGGTAAACTTTCACCTTTTTTCAACTCTCCTTAAAAACCACCAAAAGTCAAAATGAGAACATTTTAGGGGGACGGAGGGAGTATATTTTAATAAAAAAAATATATGGAATTTAATAACATAGTCTATTAAGAAAAACAATTTAAGTTGACTGGTCAGTGTGATTATTTTATGGTGGCCTGGTGGCTATGCGTTGGATATTCTTCAAAAGGTTGATAAATAAGTGTTCTTCCAGATTCCTTCGTGTACTCCTGGTTTCATTGGAACCAGGGAGTTAGCATGGTTCTAATTTGGGACAACATTTAGTGGCTGCAATATGACATTGTTCCTCAATTTAAAATTGGTGTTATTGTTTATTGTTCATGCTTTTAAACTTGTACTCTCAGGAGTTTGTGACCTTTAAATCCATATACACTATCCTAGCAGGAAGTGAGCCAAAGTATGTAGGTCGCTACAGAATCACTGACGATGATTCACTTGAGGCTGCAATAGCAGCTGCCGGAAAAATTCGTATGCTGTTAGAAGCAAAATTGTCACCTGGACCTTCCTTGAGTGGTGTACGCCGACATGGAGGCAATAGTCGCTGGCATCACGGTGTCAGCGTCACCAGCGGTAATTTTCTAGCAGCTAAGGTGTGAACATTATTATCAGTTAGTGCTTTTTATTGCACTTTTTGGGTCTGCTTATAACTCTATACCATTAATTGCTTCATGATATCAACTAATAACCTCCAAGTTAAACCCTTTTTAGTGTACACGCTCTAATACAGTTTACTGGTGTTACTTTTTGGCAGAGAAGGGGAGTTGTGGATGGAATTGATTATGGGTCAACGGGTGAAGTTAAGAAGATTGATGTCTCTCAAATACGTGAGAGGCTCGACCAAGACTGTATTGTGTCAATTAGCAATGTTGGTTATTCAAGTTCTGGACAGGTTTTAAATTGCAAGTATGCTATATATTTCAATTCATTAACTCATGATATTTACCATGCATATGATGGACGGATTCTTTGAACAAGTGCCGCTTTCCGTTTGGCCGTCCTCGAAAACTTCTCATTTGGGTACTTGGAGACATCTCACCTCCCCCCCCCAAATCCTTTGCAAAATATGGAAAAGTGGGTGTTTTCCCGACCCTGTCCTCGTATGAGTAGGAGTCTCGTCTCTGTGCAACTCAGATGGAAATAACCTATGATGATGATGATGTACACCAACACAACAACAACATTACCCTCGCACTGCGGGGTAAGGAGGGGTCGGATGTACACAGCCTGACCCCTATGTTAAAACATAGAGCGGCTGTTGCCGGTGTTCCAGGTGACCCATGATCAGCGTCGAATGTTGCATTGACTAACTGTTACTCCACTATCAAAAGAAGCACAGATAGTTTAAGAACCATTTTGCTTTATTCCATCTTACTCCAAAGTATACAATTAATTGGAATTGTGAACATAATTCTATGGAGTCCAACTAAGTTGGGTTTTAGGTAATGATAGTGAATTAGTGATAATGATAATGAAGATGCTAATCATAGATTGATGTAGGTCTTTAATAGGTAGCTTTGCATGAAGTGTGATGACAAAAGATGCTAGTTAATGAGATTGAAGTCTTGCTTTGCCAGTGCATTTTATTTCCAGAGGCCATGAAATGTGATTAATACTTTCTCGATGAAAATTTCACATGCAATGCATCTCAATGCTTCATCTAAACAAAAAATGTAATTATATCATATTTCTTATAGTAGCATTATTCTAGATATTCTGGGGAACTCATGATGTTTGGCATGTCACTTTTGCAGCACATATGAAGTTGCTACAGCCTGTGCGTTGGCCCTCGGCGCAGAGAAACTAATATGCATCATCGATGGTCCAATTTTAGATGAATCTGGCCGTCTTATTCGCTTCTTAACTCTTCAGGATGCTGACTTGCTGGTCCGTAGAAGAGCTTATCAAAGTGAAACGGCAGCAACTTATGTAAAAGCTGTCGGTCATGAAGACATACCTCCTGTAGGCTATGATGCTTCAAAAGGATCTGTATTTTCCCACAATGAGAATGGATTAGCTAGCCATAAATATAATGCCACGTTCCAGAACGGAGTTGGCTTTGACAATGGGAATGGACTTTGGTCTGGTGAACAAGGTTTTGCTATCGGGGGACAAGAGAGGCTAAGTAGGTCATATGGTTACCTTTCAGAGTTAGCTGCAGCCACTTTTGTTTGCAGAGTGAGCTACTATTCTTTTTTTACCTCACTTCTTATCCCCCCTCCCAGATACTTGGGGTCCAAAACAAGGTGAAATATAACCAGTTCTTACAAATCACTTCCCTACTTGTTTGAACTCTACATTTATTGCTTAGGTGAGCCCATCAAAGATTTTATCATGAACACTAAAAGCTTAAGCCTAACCCTTGTCAAATGTATTTATGTATTTGCTTATGTATAGCAAGTATATTGTGATCTTAATTGTTAGGACGAATGTTACTATACTAAAATTGTTGATGTTCTTATTATCATTGTTTCTCTTCAGGGGGGTGTTCAAAGAGTTCATCTGCTAGATGGCACCATCGGTGGAGTATTATTGAAGGAATTGTTTCAAAGGGACGGGTTTGGTACAATGGTAGCTAGGTATGGAATCATTTAATGAATCTTTTCTTGAGGTGTACATGTGTTGTTTCTTGTTTTCCTAACATTTGCACCCTCCCTATTTTAGTGAACATCAAACTTTATTGCCATCTTCATCACTATAGGTGGATATAGTTGCTACAATTCCTTCAAAAATGCAAATCAAATGACACTCCCTTCGTCCAAGAAATAAATTCTATTTGAATTGCATACAAGTTTACATTTTTTATTGCTATGCACATCAGTATTGGAACATAACAGTTAAGAGCATACAAGAGGCTGAACTTTGGACTCCAGCTAATTTACTAAATGAACCTTTTTTTTTCTATAATTTTGTAGTGACCTTTATGAAGGAACTCGGGCAGCAAGGGCAACAGATGTTGCTGGAATAAAACAATTACTGCAACCTTTAGAAGAGCATGGAACATTAGTCAGGAGGACGGAGAAGGAGGTAAGTTTTTGTTTTACTGTCATCAGGTCACTTTCACATTTTGGGGGGGGGGGGG